TAAAGTAAATAGAGAGACAGGACATGTGTGGAAACAAGGCTAAACAAATTGCTCACGATAACTAGATTATATGTTTAGAGAATGTAATACATATGCAGTGTTTCCCCTAGGTTTGGGGTGGGGCAGATGAACACCGACAGGATTCATTGTGTTCATGTGTTTCTTTTAATGACAGCAGTCAAAAAGACGCAAATAGTTTTGTCTGCTTTTCAGGTGGTTGACGCGACATATTTTCCCACGCACGCTTTCTGTCCGCCGGTGGGAGCGTACTCACCTGTGTGTGCGCGCACGTGTCTGTGCGCACGCATTGGGGCGGAACTTAAAATAGTGTGTGCGCGATATAGAGAACAGAGGAGAATTGTAAACGCACAACCGTGTAGAGACAAAAATGACAAGCTGTTGTGTAAATAAGATAAATAGGTTGAAGGAGCATGGTACGGAAAGCACAACTTACTTGAACATATTTGCATTTCACTGTTTCCACCCATACTAAAGCCTTAATCGTACCACTTGTGAAAGTAGGCTACTCCTTTAACCAAACAGTAGGCCTACAGTTACGGGTGGATGTGGGTAATCATACATTTGATTTGGTAGACTTCTCCACCTTCTGTGGGTTAGCAGAAAGCACAGGGTAGGAAGGTGTTGTGCCTAAAAGCAGCCTGCTCCTTCTGGATTTTAATCTGAATGACATCTTATGACTTTCTTTCCATTTTATCAGTCGACCACCTGTCTCAGATGAATCTGTCACGTCGCAGGGTAGATTGGGGCACTTGAAGGCCGTCTTTGCTTGTTTTGCTGTCAGATTTGGAGCTGTGCTACTGAGCATTTCAATATGATCTGTGCTCTGTTTTTCAAATAGCAATCTATGCCGTGCTGGATAAGATGACAAAAACGCTTCAAGAGCACAGGACAGGTTGGTTGGTATATTTGGAGAAAATGTTTGTCTTTCCTGTTTATTTCTAAACTGAACCTGCTCTCTCTCCTCACCAGTTTTGGATGAATCACATGTTTTATACACAGAGATCACAGCACCTGTTCCATCCAGAAATGTGGAGAGCGCGGTAAATTTTTAACACTCTTATACTGATTTTATACAGACTGTCCAATACAGGTTTATTTTTGAGTGGTAACAGACTATATCACGTTTACACAACTGCCTAAGCAATGTAAAAGTGAACACCTGTAACTCCTGAAGTCCACTTAATTTATTAGAAAGTATAGAGTTTGCATGCCATCTCAGCTTCAAGCTGACATACTTTTTCAGTTTAGTCAGTTGGCTTGTGGACAATGTGGTTCTGTCCAGAATAAAAAAAAATGTAATACGGTGTTAACCAGTGTTTTTTATGTGATGGTGCAGCATACCGGAACCTTTTTACAGATTATTTTACATTTATACCTCCCTTTTGAAATGTAAAATAAGCGAAGTAGAGTGATTATCAGATCATTGACTTTTTTGGCACAGACATTTGATATGACAGAACCACAATGTATCGATAGCTACTAGTGCATTGCACATGAATGCTTCAGGTTTGTACAATAAGTTCAATTCAATCATCTTAATCAACATACAATACATAACCGCATAACAACCCCACACACAAAAAAACACTAGCAATAACCAATCAGCTTGTTGGTCATTTTAACAGAGTATGTGCAATTCTTTGTTCTAAATAATCCATGGACTGGATGGGCAGGAGCAAGATGAACAAAAAAGCAATGGAAGTGCTACATAAGGCTAATGGAAGCCTGTACTGTTTTTGCCTTTCCAGAACTTTATGTCCTTATACAGTGTATAATATGCAGTGTAGTTGGGGCCAAGAGACAAAAACGTCCAGAGATTCAACAGCAGCTCACAGAGGGAGTGAGCAGTGTTTACGTTCTGGCTGAAAGTCCAGTGAGTGACCTGTGGAGACAACAGNCTGACCACATCAGAGCACTGGCCTTCAGCTGTGAACAATCACTAAATAAATGTGCCAATGTACAAATATTTACAGAGAATACCAAGGAGTGCACAGTGTTGGATTTATTACACTGTGAACAACGTGTTAGCAGAAAACAAATGACTTTTCATGTTTAACAGTTAAATAACTTCATGTTTAACAGTTTTTCAGTCTATTTATCTAGTTCATCTTCTGTGACACACTTCAAACTGGAAAACAACAAAGTAGTTACTTAAAAGTTTCAGTTTCTCTAACCATGCTGTATTTATCAATAAGAAATTAGATCTGAATGTGGGACAAATAAGTAGCAGACTCAGATGTCAAAATATGATTATTTATATTTAAAAATACTATAGGTTTCTATTTTTTCCAAGATGCTTCTCTAAAACTTGATCTGTTCAATATGTCGTGTAAGTGCCACTGGTCTGAAATCAGTGCTAATCCTTGCATTCCACAGGGGAGGTATTCTTGTCTGTTGTCTCAGAGTATGCTCCGACCGTGGTGAGTGATGTCTCATTGAGGGAGACCTTTTACTCGCAGCTTTGCTCGGTGGATGAAGGGTGCCCATGAGGTGACACTCCTCTGGTCATGGGTGACTTCAGTGCGACCACTGGCACTGACAGGGCTGGCTATGAGGATTGTGTTGGTCCCTATAGGTCTGGAGACCGTGGTGAAAGTAGTTCAATGTTCCTTGACTTTGCGAAAGGTCAGGGACTGCGAGTTGCTGGATCCTGGTTCCAACACCCTGAACTGCATTGTTGGACTTGGTACTCCAATATTGGTGGTGCGGCAAAGGAGATTGATCACATCCTCGTTGGCAGATGCTGGAGGCTCCTGCAGAACTGCAGGGTCTACAGAAGTGCCCAGTTTGTGAATTCTGACCACAGACTTGTTGTTGCTACTCTGAAGATTCAGCTTAGATCCAGTAGGCTACCACCTACTAGGAGAACGAGGCTGGACTTAGCCAGACTCCAAGATCAAGCTGTTTCTGATGAGTTTGCACACAATTTTTGTGAAGAACTTGCAGACTTGGGTGCGACTACTGACTCTAATGTGATCACCTTCCGTGATAAGACCCTGAAGGTTGCCAACGATTGTGTTGGTGTTGCCAGTGTCCTCAGAAGGAGGTGTTTCATCTCACAGGGCACCCTGGATATTATCGAGAGGAGTCGTAGCGAATGACTTGGTGGCAACTCCAGTCTGTACCGGGAAATGAGAAAGACTGCTGTGAGGGCTCTGAGGGCAGATAAGGAGGCGTTTGTTAGATGAATCTGTGAGCAAATGACACACCATCTGTAGTGTAGTGACCCACGTCCTGCTTACAGAGGAATCGAAGCATTACGCACATGTGAATCTCTTCGTCGGAGACTTGCAGTCAGGGCGAGTGATGGAACAGTCCTTATGGAAGACACTGCAGTTGTGACTTTGAGCAGTTGTTTAAAGCTGACCCTCTGGCTGGGATGTTGTACATCTCTGGGTCCACGATTCTCGAAGCTGACCCACCGATCAGCTGTGAACCACCCAATTTCACTGATATTGCACGGGTGTTGAATCAGCTGGGGGTAGGGAAGGCCGCAGGAATCTGTGGTATCCAGGGTGAACTTCTCCAGGCTGCTGGTAAGGCTGTCCTCCTGGCATTGCAGGCGATCTTTGCTTCCATTTGGGAGTCAGGCATCATCCCAACTGACTGGAAAATGGGACTTGTGGTACCTATCTAGAAAGGGAAGGGTGATCGCCTGGATTGCGGCAACTACAGGGGGATAACACTGCTTTCAGTGCCAGGTAAGGGCCTTGCTAGGGTCATCCTCAACAGGATCTGTGAACACTTGCTTGTCTGTCAGCAACCGGAGCAGTCTGGCTTTACGCCTAAGAAGTCTACCATCGACCGTATCCTTGCACTGAGGGTTCTCATCGAGCGCAAGTGCGAATATTGGCAGAGGTTCTTTGCAGCCTTTGTCGATTTTCGTAAAGCGTTCAACTCATTTGATCGAGTTGCCCTGCGGGACATTCTGAGACTTCGCAGGATCCCCCCACAGTTGCTGGACATCATGGCCGCCCATTACACTGGTACTGTGAGTGCTGTGCAGAGTGGAGGGAGAACCTCCGCCTTCTTCCCAGTTGATTCTGGGGTTCACCAGCGGTGTGTTCTTGCTCCTACTCTGTTCAATGCTTGTATGGACTGTGTGTTGGGCAGGGTCGTGGGGTCCAGCAGCTGTGGGGCATCCATTGGTGAAGAAAGATTTACTGATCTTGACTTTGCTGACGATGCTGTGATCTTAGTGGAGACAATGGAGGCTCTGATCGGGGTTCTCAAGAGACTGAGTAAGGAGTCTGAGTATCTGGGATTGTCCTGGTTAAAGGCCAAGATCCAGGCATTTAATGACTTCTTAGGCACAGTCATCAGTAGTGTGTCTGTCTGCGTGGAGAATGTCAACCTTGTCGAGAGATTTACCAACATCAGCAGTGACATTCATGTCTCTGGTGACTCTTCCTATAAAGTCAGTAGATGGATTGGAAGAGCATGGGGGGTCATGAGGTCGCTGGAAAGGGGTGTGCGGTGTTCCCGATATCTTTGCAAGAGGACAAAGGTCCAAGTCTTTAGAGTCCTGGTGCTCCCTGTCTTGCTATATGGCTGTGAGACATGGACGCTATCCAGTGACCTGAGACAAAGACTGGACTCCTTCGGTACTGTGTCTCTTCGGAGAATCCTTGGGTACTGCTGGTTTGACTTTATGTCGAATGAGTGGCTGCTAGAGGAGTCCCGAATGAGGCACGTTACCTGCATTGTGAGGGAGCATCAGTTACGGCACTAGGGCCATGTGGCGCATTTCCCTGAGGGTGCTGAGGACCCAAGCAGCTGGACCAGGCCAAGGGGACGCCCACGTAAAACCTGGCTGTGGCAGTTGGGTGGCCATTTCCGGAGGGTGGGATTGGACTGTGCATCTGCCTGGGGGATTGCTGGCCGGGATCCCGAGGAGTTTTGCTGTATGGTAGGTATGCCAGCGCATGCTCCCCAACCTGACCTGATAATCAACTTGGAGAGATAACTTAAAAGAGCACACCAGACTCGAGTGGTTAAGATGCAACATGCAAGGATACCACAGATACCAAAGTGGAAGAGAAAAAAAACCTTCAGGATTCCTGTCCTTGTGAATCTCTCAATCAAAGTAATATATGGGGTAATCATAGTACAATTAGGGAGGAGTTCCTCAAAGCAGGACATCTCAGCTAGCTGGGTTAACTTAAGATGGAAGTCAAGATTGTCCAATAAGAGTTTAAGTAAGGAGCATTCCCATTGGATAATCTGTTCATCTGTATCAGCAGAGCAATTTAATGGATATAAGATATGGTTGCAGGATATCCATCCATCCATCCATCACTTCCAGGGTCTCCCCTGCTTCAAATGAGATAGGGTCCATGCTCACCGTGACACATACTCAGATTCCATACGCTAAAAAGCAGCGAGTGCTGTCTCATTCGTAATTACAGAAGAAAACCTACTTGATATATTTATTTAATCTCTGCAAGCACATGAAGATCAACAGCTTTAGGTATTTTACTCACAATGTTCTCACCATTGAAAACCTGTAGAGTTACTGTCAGACATCCCAAGTCTCCCGGAAGTTCCGGGAGTCTCCCGCATATTGATAGCGGCTCCCTGATGCCCGCAAATTGAATAAAATATCCCGGAAACTAGAGCAAGCAAACAAGAGCATGCATGCGAGACAGTAGCGTGTGCATTGTGCACTTGAGAGAAGCACGTACATGACGGAATACACTTCATGGCCTAATTTGCAAGATCATCTCAGTATTGAATTACTGGACAGTTGTCATTTGATATTTCTGTAAAATTCCACTTGTAGTACGTCAGTCATCACCTCTGGCAGCTACTACAACCTTTGAAGTGTTACAAATTGGTTTGCTATGTATGTGAAATTATTAAATCTCTTTTAGGATTTAATTTATTATACTTTAAAAGGCAACTGAAATAATTTGTTCTTCTTCCAAGTGTCTTTTTTTAGAAAAACTTAACAGATTTTTGTTAGCAATGCTTGGTTCCTCTTAATTCACTTTGCACTTTGTAGACGGTCCCTAGCAAAAGGCTGAGCCTCCAACGCTGGCTTGTTTGTTTCGCGGAAAATGCCTCGTCACTACAATAATTAATGAACATATCAGTCACTATACAATAATGTAGTACAATCTGTATTTTCTCCTGAAACAGAAAGTGTTACTTTTGTGATTTTTGGTGATGTTGTTTCAAAGATATACGGGAGACAAATCCGAATATCAAGCGAATATCCAACATAAAACCAACTTTACCATGCTCCGGCGCCTCTGAGAGCCTGGAAACGTGAGCGCGCAACAGTGCTCGTTTCATTCAGTCGCTGTCATTTATTGTGTTATTGGTGTGTTTAGTTATTGTGAGTTTCATATCTAAAGATATTGAGACAGGTGGCCACTGAGAACTGTTCTTCTGCAGTCTTTAAGCTAAGATTAGCCTCTTAGGTCATTTTGACTGATGGGTCAGAAAGCGGAAATGATGGTGTCGTCTTAAATAGGCAATAGCCTAAATCTTGGTTTAATTTTTGATCAATTCCTGAGCTTCAATGATCATGTCAAGTCTCTCTGTCGATCTTGCTTTTTTCAGTTAAGAAACCTTTCTAAGCTGCAAGCTGCTGTTTCTATGGCTGAGATGGAAATGCTCATTCATGCATTCATCTCCTCACGCTTAGATTACTGCAACTTACTTTTTACCTGTCCTAGTACAGCAGGTTTGTCCCATCTTCATTTTCTTGCAAATAAAGGCAGTCAAATGGTGAACATACTGCACATTTATTTGTTAGCAAAGAATACTAAGTGTATTTTTTCGTAAATGTTAAGTGAGTAACATGCAAAATCTCAGTGTGTGAAACAGACCAGCATTTAATGTCCTTTGTAGAAACTGACTGGCAGCGTATTTGCTGTGTTAC